ATGTTAAGAAAAAAAAAGAAAGAAAAAAGAAGTTAAATATGCCAATAATCACAATCCTGATCAACCTGAAACAGCAGGAATATGAACTAGAAGCCAAGCTGATGGAGGAAGATCATTGGTTAAAAAATAAAGAAACTGCCTTGGCCCATTTTATTGGTTAGAACATAGGTGGGTGGAGTAAACAGAACAGAATGCTGGGAGGAAGAGGAATTGAGTTCAGACTTGACAGCTCTGGAAGAGACGCCATGCTCCCCTCTCCCAGGCAGACGCGATAGCTCTGCTCTCTGAGGCAGATGGCAATGCAGCCAGCCACCAGGTCAGACATGCTGAATCCTTCCCAGTAAGACCGGTGCTACACAGTTTATTAGAGATGGGTTGATCGGGATATCAGAATTAGTCAGTAAGGGCTAGAGCTAATGGGCCAAGCAGTGTTTAAAAGAATACAGTTTGTGTGTTGTTATTTTGGGGCATAAGCTAGTCAGATGGCTGGGGTGCTGGGGACACAGTCCTGCCACTCCTATTACTACACCAGGCTAGAACACACACACACACACACACACACACACACACACACACCACAAAAGGAATGTTTAGCATTACATAATAAAATTATTATATACTAATCATAAATTTTTATATGACAAAAGTTACTAGAAAGCTAAATAGCAAACTGAGTAGCCAGCTGTCTAGATATAAATAGATATATCATTCATATATAGACATGTTAAATTAGCACATTCATAGTCATTTGAGACATAACTACTTACATCAGGTGTATCGTGGTTGCTGGGGTGCTTGCCTAGTATTCATGAGGTTCTGGATTTGATCCGTAGCACAGTGGACACCACACCAGGTGCTCTCAGGAGATAGAAGCAAGAGAATAAAAGTTCAAGGTCATACTAAGTGACAAAGCAATTTGAGAACTAACGTGGGATGTATGAGACTCTGTCTTAAAACCATCAAATGAAAATAGTGCACACAGTAAGGCTAAATGGAGAACTCTTTTATGTCAGGACCTCAACAGCAAGAGTCCATCACAATTTTTAGCCATTCCTTCAATCTTGGACTTCATAAACTGGTCACTGAAATAAATGTTGCTATTTTGTTATATTGATTGGAAGTCCACAGTTCTACCAATGAATTATGAGAAAATAAAGAATCATTTTCCATTAAACATATGAGTCAAATGATATACAAGGATGGATTGGATGAGGTATCTTCTGAGATTCTGAAAGGAACATAGAACAGTGATGAAGTCAAGGCATGGATCTCAAGGGAAGGCTTCTGAATCTGCACGACACCTGACAGCTTTATGTAGGTCATCTTACCCCTCTGTGCTTGTCGTTTATCTGGACATGGTGACAGTGGTCATTCAGCCTCAAAATGTTGAGGGCTAAATCGTGCTTGGTGTTAGTAATGGAGTGATGAATCCAAATGTTGTTAGTTGTCTTTAGTTTTCTTTTAATTTTGTTTTGTTTTTATCATGTATTTTCGTTTTTTGTTGTTTTGAGCTAGGCTTTCTTTGCATAGCCTTGGCTGTTGTGGAACCAGCTCTATAAACCAGACATGCCCCAAACTCACATAAATTTACACACCTCTGCCTCCTGAGTGCTGGCATTAAACACCTGCACCCACCACAGCCTAGATCATCATTAGTTTTAAAATTAATCATAAACTAGAGTCATCTTGGAAGAATGAACCTTGACTAGGAAAATGATTCCATCAGGTAGCTTATAGGTATGGAGAATTTTGTTGATCAATGATATATGTTTGAGTGTCCAGTCTACTATGGGCACAGTCCCCCTAGGAAGGTTATCTTGTGTAGTATAAAAAAAAATACTGAGCAAATCATATAGAAGACGTAGTAGGCACAGTTGCTCTGTGGAACCCTGTCTCCAGGTTCCATCCTTGGGTTCTTGACCTGACTTACCTATTAGATTAATACCCTATAATGGAAGCAGAATAATGCCCCCCCATGAGTTGTTTTGGGTCATGATATTTTATCACAGTTATAGAAACTTAACTAAACTTAAACAATAATAAAGTGATTTAGACAACACTATTCTTATTTTTCTAATGATGTGTGAAGTGTCTAATAAACATGCATGTTGTAATAAATTAAATTTGTGTCAGTGAAAACGTATTCGATCCGTATGCTAAAATAACCAGACCAGCTCAAAACAACAGGTATAATTTAATAATTGAAAAAAAAAAACGGGAAACTCATGCTACTGGACAAGGTCCAAAATCCAAACAGGCCAGATGATCACTGCACACAGAGAGCCTGCACACCTCTCTAACCCCGTTTTTCTATCTACCTGGCTCCAGGTGGTCACACCCAAGCCAGATGTGATTGGTTGAGCTTCCCCATCAAATTTTTATTAAGTTATTATCACTAAAACATGTCATTATACATTTATTAAAAATATTATACAGCAAGGACCAAAGAAAAGAAAACTGCTTACCTGTAAATTATAAAATTATAGGCCTACAAACACTTTTATAGAAAATTAGTCGATTTCACCAGGAGGTAAATATGGAATTTATTTTTGTGCTTTAGGAGTTCGTTTAAATATATAAAGGGAAGTTAGAGCACGTGTATCAGGCCCCCAAAAGTTAGCAGGCCCCAGATCTTAGCACAACTGGCTTTATGATAGAAGGATTATTCAGGTCATCAAACTCAGCATGTAGACAGTACTCTCTGCCAAAATGAAAACAAAGACCTACTCCATCAAAGTCCATAGTTCTAGGAAAGTCTCTAAATGTACTTCTGTTTTGGCTTCCCTTCTAACTTTTCTGGCTAACTGTTATTGCTAACTAAAGTACATCAACCTACAATATGGTGTTTGTGCTTAAAAGCTCACTCAAAGAAGGCTAAAGTCTATACAACGATCCCAAATACTCAGTGTAATTTCCAGATGGCTAATGAAGACTTTCTATTAACTTAAACCTGTATCTGAGTAGTCTTTTTCTGGTGGATACCTTATAATATGACAGATCTGTGGATCCTAGGGAAAAAAGAATTTCTGTATTGATGCTTGATGAAGCCTGCAGTACATCAGCTAGATTGGCTTAAGATAGGCCTTGCAATCACATGGTAGATAGCTATGATATCACATGTCTGCTAATGTACATGAAGCTGAAATGATACAAGCATTTGTAATTCCAAAATTACCTTTTGTCCTCACCGAGGGGTTATTTCTAGTTGACATGATCTGGGAACAAATTGTTTGATTCTAAGAAAGAAACCAAATCAGATTTTCTGTAACAGTATAGAATCATTGTTTTCTTTACAGGAAAATTGGATCTTGAGTTTGTGATTAGTGTTTCAGGCTTTCGTATATTCAGTTTCTTTTCCCTAAGATGCTTAAGGATCTGACACATTTAGTTTTCAAATATTAGGCAAGAAGCTGAGCAAGTTAATAAAGCAATGGTAAGCCCCTTTCTCTGCTTTTTCTTTCCTTCCTTCCGGGCCTCAGGCTGAAGGCTGCAGTTTTTTGTTTTTTTTTTTGGCTTCCCCACTTCATGTGGCCTTAGAGACACACTTCCAACTACACAGAATGCTGTCCCCCTAAAAGATAGAATGTTGACATTGAATCCCTTCCAATTTCTGACAGTGTTCAGACTTACTACCTTCACGAAGCAGTGCTTTAAGATTTGCTTGTTTGTTTGTTTTTTTTTTTCCAGAATTTGTAATTACTATTCAAGGAGAATTTAGTCTGGTATTGTCTTGTCTTATAAGACTCAAGAAGCATCTTTTAATTTCTAAGATGTTATATAATTGCTTTCTGAATTCTATTTTGCGAATCAGCAAATCCGTCAATCCAATTATCATTTTTACAATTTTATAGGTATCTTTTGATTGCTTTTAATTGTTCTCATTTTCACAGGCTTTCTTCTATTCCTCTGTAATAAACCTAGCACGGAGAGGTGCATTCATGTGTGGAAATGCAGTGCTTCGATCTCAGATTTCATTGTTTTTCTAGTTCTACACATTTGCAGTTATTCTTTGAAGATAATGACTCTGGGTGGTTCCTGTTACGTTTTCTATGTTGGACTGAATACAGTAAGCTACTATTATGTCTGCAGGCTTTGGATAGGCCTCACTCAAAGCTATATTCTCAAAGCAATGGCTAGAAGTATCCTTTACCATAAACCATGAACTTGTCCTATATTCTTGGTCCTTCTAGTCCCATAAATGCTTCCATAAATCATTGAGTTTCATAGTAATCTGTTCCTCACAGCAAGTGCTATCTGATGTTGTCATCTGTTTTTTGTGTTTTTGTGTCTTCTCATTATACCATCCATACTCTTCTTTGTCAGAGGTACCGTGCAGACTTGCACTGTGAGACATTTTACTTATTAGCTATTTATTTCCCTATTTCCCTTAATGCAAACAGCCTTTTATGTCTAGATTTCCTCTTCTCAATGTGGCCTGTACTAACCATACTTTTCAATGTTGTCCAGACCCATAAGTACAGATTTCTTAGGAACATGGCATTTTCCTTAAAGAGATATCCCACTTTCTCTGAAGAATGAATGGAATGAGGTCAATTATAAACAGATTTCAAATTAGCATATACTGAATCTCATAAAAATTACCTATCATGTCTCTTTGTTATACTTTTAGTTTTTTTTAGCTGCAATATTCAGGGAAATTATCGCCTCTCTTGGAAAGAACATGTTGATTAGAGTATTATCAAAAGTTTAGTAATTACTTTAACTTTATTCTGTTCTTTATGTTTCCAGTGTCTTCACCTTTCTGGTTCATTCAACTGTAGTTATTTCAATCTTTCAAATTGTTGTATGGTATATGCTTGGTAATATTATTCCCTTCTTTTCTTATAGAGTTTCTTTTTCTTTTCTTTTTTTTAATATAAATTTTTATTGAAAAAAAAAAAGATTTCCGCCTCCTCCCCGCCTCCCATTTCCCTCCCCGTCTCCCTTTTCCCCCCTCCTCCCTCTCCTCTCCCCCTCCCCCCCACTCCTCTCCTCCTCCCTCTCCAGTCTGAGGGGCAGTCAGGGTTCCCTGCCCTGTGGAAAGTCCAAAGTCCTCCCCGCTCCATCCTGGTCTAGGAAGGTGAACATCCAAACTGGCTAGGCTCCCACAAAGCCAGAACATGAAGTAGGATCAAAACCCAGTGGCATTGTCCTTGGCTTCTCAGCAGCTCTTATTGTCCGCCATATTCAGAGAGTCCGGTTTTATCCCATGCTTTTTCAGTCGCAGTCCAGCTGGCCTTGGTGAGCTCACAATAGATCAGCCCCACTGTCTCCGTGGGTGGGTGCACCCCTCGTGGTCCTGACTTCTTTGCTCATATTTTCCCTCCTTCTGCTCCTCCTTGGGACATTGGGAGCTCAGTCCGGTGCTCCAGTGTGGGTCTCTGTCTCTATCTCCATCCATCTCCAGATGAAGGTTCTATGGTGATATGCAAGATATTCATCAGTATGGCTATAGGATAGGGTCATTTATCTAGTATACTTCCTTCTGGTTTTTTTTTTTTTTTTTTTTACTGTGAGCTCACCTTTAGAAAGAAAGTGTTTTATGGATGTTTGTGACAGCTAATCTCAGGTGGCAAATTGACTACAACTGGAAATAACTAAATAGTGAAGCTACCTGGCAGTAGGTGTACCTGTGAGGGGTTTGAATCTCTGTCTAGAAGCGTCTTTTATCTTTTGAGGTAGAAAGACACACTTTGAATCTGATTCTTAACCTCTAGTGGCAGCCCAAACCAAAAAAAAAAAAAAAAAAAAAAAAAAAAGCAGAAACTAAAATATTTTGTTTGTGCTATAACATATAAAGCTTGCCTGAGGATTAGGGTGTTGACCTAGCCACTAGTTAGCCATAAAGGCCAGGCAGTGGTGGCACACACCTTTAACTCCAGCTCTTGCAAGACAGAGGCAACAGAAATCTGTGGGTTCAAGGTCACCCTGGGCTAGCGTAGACTGATCCAGTGTCCAGTGTCAAAGAGAAACAGAGCCAGGAGGTGGTTCACACTTTAAATTCCAGGACTTGGGAGACACACACTTTTAATCCCAGCACTAGGGAGTTAGAGACAGATAGGGTTGTGGCTCAGAGGAGAGGAATATAAGAAGGGAGGAGACAGGAGCCCAGTGCATTCAATATAAAGATTCCTAGAGACAGGAAACCCATTTGGTCTGAGAATTTGGTAAAGGTGAGAGTTAATGGCTGGCTTTTCTGTTTTTCTGATCTTTCAGCTTTCACCCCTAATGTCTGACTCTGAGTGTTTATTATTAATACCAATTAGAATTCACAGTACAGAAGGAGGCTTTTGCTTTTTGATGGACTACCATCACTCTTCCTGGCAAGTTCATCTACTCTGTTGCTGAATCATTCCTCTTTGGTATTAAAATCTACTTTTTCAGGATTGAGAGAAAATGGAAGACCAGCAGAACTCTAGGAATCCTCTGTGACTCTAGCATCAGACTGGAACTGCTCAGATATCCAGTCTTTGTTGGACCAAACATTGAGATCCTAGGCCTTTCCATTAGGAAACATCTGTTATTGGCCTACTCAAACCACAGCCTGTAAGACACTCTAATAAATCCCATTTATATATTTAATTGCTTTTTACATATCTGGATTTGTAAATGTGTCTGTGTGAGCACTTCTCTTGCTGAACTTGTTTTAAGTTAATATTTCTGGCTGAAGACCTGCAACACAATTTCCACTTACTAACAAACATCAGCTGAATTGTGCTTTACCTGGGTCTCAATCTTCTCTTGCCCTTAAGATCTAGAGCTCTGAGTTTGCACAGATGGAAATTGTTGTCATTACTTGGCAGCTTCAGTTTCTCCAGTTCACTCCCTTTCCGATTTATTTATTTATTTATTTATTTATTTATTTATTTATTTATTAAAGCTTTCTGCCTCCTCCCCGCCACCGCCCCCCATTTCCCTCCCCTCCCCCAATTAACTCCCCCTCCCTCATCAGCCCCAAGAACAGTCAGGGTTCCCTGCCCTATGGGAAGTCCAAGGACCTCACACCTCCTTCCAGGTCTAGTAAGGTGAGCATCCAAACTGCCTGGGCTCCCACAAAGCCAGTACATGCAGTAGGATCAAAACCCAGTGCCATTGTTCTTGAGTTCTCAGCAGTCCTCATTGTCCGGTATGTTCAGCAAGTCCAGTTTTATCCCATGTATGTCAATTGCTTCCCTGTATTTGGCCATTCTTGATTCTTAGTTTCACAGTTAATGAGGCATCTTTTAAAACATATCATATTTAATCACATATTTACATAAACTAAAAGCATGAGGAATTTTGCCAAACAATAATCTGTGATTTTTTTATTATATTTTACCTGTTTAGCTATACTTTAGAGTACACTCTGTCCCAGACTACAATATGCTGAGATCACACTAAATGTTTGTTTAATTCCCTAAAAATTCATGAACATCCTTGCCTCTAAAACTTCATATATGCACTTTACCTGCTTCTTATATAACTCTTTATTAACGTTCCCATGTTCTTTCTGGGAAAGTTCATACACATGCTTAATGCTGGACTCTAATGACTTCTCTGTGGAGCTGCAGCTGGATTTTCAAACTGACTTCTTAGGTTTCTGGCAGCTATGTGTCTGCCATGAAAACTAGAATGTCCAATCCTTCTGAGACTGGCAAAGTGAGTTTGTACCCTATAATTTCACAGTAAAGTTTAGAAGAAAGCAAGAACAGAATTATATAATTAGAATGTGATTTTAAACATATAGCTCAATTTGGAAGCAATTTTATAACATCTATTCTTTCCGACTTTAACGACTCTTGGATATAATGTGCTTTCAAGCAAAAAATGGTCTTTCCTACTCTGCAACCATTACCAAGTTGGGTTTGTTCATAAAAATGCTAAGCATTCATTTTCAAACATTAACTCCAAACCAATACATGAAAAGAGATACTGAAGATTTGGTGGTGTCTGTACTTCCATTTTCATGCAAATAGAAGCAAACAACTATAATTACAAATTACTGCTTGCCTTTCATAGTCCTACACTGAAAAAATTATATGTATTAAAACAATAACATAATGGACCCAAGTACAGGCTTATTATTCACATTCGGGGATACTGTTTTCACTCCCAAACCATACAACAATGTGGGATAACTGGTTTCTGAGACTGTCACAGGTGATATGTAGATACACACACATATAGACACAATGAACAAAGAAATATACATTGTAAAACAAATACCTTAAAATAGATACCATTTTAATTTACGTTATTAAAACAAGTCACTACCAAGCATAGGCACATATGGAGTACCAATTTTAAATGATTATGTCATGGAAATTAATCTTATATTTTGAATATAACCATATACACTCCATTAATGAATGAATAAAAATTTCAATTAAAAATTCAATCATTTCTTGATTCAAATGTAAGATTAAATATTGTGCCATATACTAAAATTCTAGTCTAAGTGTTTTAGACTAGCCATGCAAGTCATGCACCTTCTATATTGTATAGCCAATCCAGAGTGAATTTAAAAAGAAAACTTTTTATTTATTTAGTCATAACTCAATGCATAATGTCACTCACCTAATAAAGACTGACATGTGGATTAATGATGATGAAATAGGGTTACAGGGATTGTGCAGCCAAGCATTTCTGTAGAGCAACAGCAACTTAAATACCAATAACATAGACATTTTCATATGCCAGTTTGTGCAAAATAAGTAATTTTGACTTTTGTAATAATTTAAAGCCATCTTAGTGAAATGTCTATGTCTATGGGCTTACCATACTTTTTAAATGATTAATTTAAGCATGTACTCAAATAACTTAGTAAATGTATATATAAGAGAAATATACAAGCCCAATATATATATAACACAAATATTTACACAAATATTTATGATGTACTTGTACTTATATATGTACATCATATTTATATATGTACAAACATATGTAACAAAAAAAGCTGAATTTGCAGTACTTTTGACCTCCTCCTACTGAACCCAAAGCACTTGCTTTTCTTACATCCACTACCACAGTGGGAAGGTCCGGCTGTGATTGCTGCCATCTGGGACAGTAATATGATGCTTTCTTTTGGTACCAGGCATAATAGTGTATCAGGACAATCCTGGAATGACAGGAGCAAGACTACAGAGCCAACATCCTGAGATAACACTTCTTCTCAGAGGAGTGGACATAAGAATGAGCAAATCGATCTAACTGTAGGCAACTGAAGGTAACTGTTGTCCTTGCTCTCCATTAGGCCTAGAAATAATTGAATCAATACATTAAATATTCCTGTGAGGCATAAAGAAATAATATATGTTACTCATATAGTGATGAAAATGTGGTCTTCAGCTATAAATGCAATAAAAAGCAAGTTACATAAATGTAGGTTAAATGACTTTAAAATAGTAAATAGAATAAAATAATTATAACTGTACTAAACCATGAACAAACTAAAAACACCAATAAAGTGTAAACATATGGTAGATAATATTAATAGCTATAACTTTATGTCATTGTAGTTCATGTTAGTGGTTCGGATCATCTTATTCAAAGATACTAAGCATTAGACAAGAATAAAAACCTAAAGACAGGACTTTATACAAAAATCTAAAACAAGGGTGTAAAAAATATTTAAAATGATGTACGAGACCCAAAGCCTAAGTTCACATAAAACTATGCTTTGTAATACACTTTGTAAATAACAGCAGAGGAAGAAAATGTTGAGAAAGCCATGGCACACTAACATCATAGACTCTGATGTCCAGACAAAGAAAAACTGAGTGATATTAACAGAGGTAAGATAATGCTTAGAAAACCATTCAGGTATAAAACTGATGAATGTGAGACCAAGAGACGGCTCAGTAAACAAATCACTCACCATTCACACACCAGAACCTAAAGCCAGACCTGGTAGCTAACTTCTGTAATACAGGCCAAAATCTCTCTTACAGGCTTTAGAGAAAGGGGGAAGTTTCCACACCACATAGTTGATGAGTAGTCCATAGTATGTCTTTAAGTCAAGCTGTTTCTGATTCTCAGCAGAAAAGAAAAGGGGTAGGCATTCATGCATTAAAGCCTATGGTGCTTGGAAAACTATGTACTTGACAATCACAGAGAAAAGGGGGAGACGGGAGGAGAGGAGAGGAGAGGAGAGGAGAGGAGAGGGGAGGGGAGAGAGAGAGAGAGAGAGAGAGAGAGAGAGAGAGAGAGAGAGATCCAGTGAGCTTAACCTGAGCAACCCATAGCCAAAACTAAGCATAAAACAGAAATGAGGACCACGGAGATGGCTAAACAGGCAAGGTTTTGTGCTATCCCAACTAACAACCTTACTTAGATCCATTCCCCAAACCTACAATGTCCTGCAACCTGTCCCTTGACTTCTATACATGAAGGCACATACACAAATAAATTCCTAAATGTAAAAAAAAATGTCTT